TCTCTCTGTAGCCCCAGCTGTCCTGGAACTCACTATGTAGACCAGGCTGGCCTTGAACTCACAGGGATCTGCCTGCCTCTGCCTCCCAAGTACGGGGATCAAAGGCATGCGCCACCATGCCCGGCGCAGTTCTTCTGATATGTAGTGTACCTCATGGGTCATATTTATGCTGGGGACAGTTTGAGTCTGGCACAGGAAAGTAGGAAATGGGGGTGTGGTTAACACTGAGGGGGATCATCAGTTCCTTGTAAGGTGATCATTGACCAATGGTCCCAGAAGGACCTTCATTGATGGATCTTCAGGGAGTGATGGTAAACTTTAGACAGTAGAGAAAGGACTATGCTAATGTGTACCTTTCCCAAATTTTAGGGTCTTATTTTACTGCCATTGCCTTAACTTTAGCCAAAGAGATTTCTTGTAAAATCTGAAATTTATTTGGATTGGACTTTGGGTTTGTTTTTTAGAAATCTTGACTTTGTAGCTAACAAAAAAGTGGGATTGAGGGGAGTGATTTGAAGGGGTAATCATAGAGTCCTAGTCCTTTAGCCAGACCTTGTTATAAAGCCCTTAACTCATCTTTTCCCCCCAAGTACTTGAAACACCCCTAGAAGCAACCAAAACAACAGCTTGTTTTATGTAGCTATATATTTATAGATACATATGTATTCTATGATAGAAACAGTCACACACATCCTTATTTTCCATAGGCACAATTACAGATAATAACAGGAATAATCAAGATGACTTCCCCCAGAACATCTGCATTAGTTATTCTTCTCATTGCTGTGACCAAATAACTGACAAGGAACAAATGAAGGGAAGAAGTGTTGTGTTTGTTTTGGCTTGTGACTTGAGGTCTGTCATCATGGGGAAGGCATGGCAGCCAGAGTGTGAGGCAGCTCACTGTATTGTATCTGCAGCCAGGAAGCAGAGAGAAGTGAATGTTGGTGCTCAGGAGACTTTCTCCTTTCTGTTCATTCTAGGGTGCTGATACCCATATTCAGGGCAGTCTTCCATCCTTAGTTAAACCTCTCTGCAAACGCCATCAAAGATATACCTGGAAGTGTATCTCCTAGGTGAGTCTAGATTTAGTGAAGTTGACAGTAATTCACCACCACAACCACTCATGTGCTACAGTTTTTCCTTTTATCAGGGCTTGTAAAATCACATCAGAGAACCAATTTCATACAGCCTAGAAATGGTTCAGAGAACACATCTAGAACTATATCTGGTCCTGACAGCCACCAAAATCAATATTCAGTCAGAGAAGTAGTAAAGGCTAGAACATGGATTTTAGAGAGTAGCCTTTGCCTAATAGTGGGAGCTGCTGGAAAGTTATGCAAGGCTGGTGCCTCTCCATCTGGCAATGAAGTATCTATGGGTTACCTTGACCAAGATGTGAAGGAAAGCTATATGACTGGGGTCAGTAAGGACAGAATGAGACTTATGGGAACAAACTGGAATCTGTGTCGAATTCACTGCCTCCAACCCCGACAACACAGTTGGGTGGCCTTTCCTATGGAGCTTGGCCTGGAACTCAGCAATACGAAAGAAAAAGATCTGTTGGGAATTGGGGAAGCAGATCTGGCTGTTAGGTCACTGGTGTGTCAGAGGATCAGTGACAAATGTGCAGGAATTGACAAGCTGCCTGCAATATACACTGACCTTAGAGCATACAAGTATGGCTGAATCTTTGCTTTCCTTTTCCAAACAAGTATATTTCTCCTGTGGCCAATTCTATCCCAGAAACGTGGGGAAGAGAGCATGGGAAATCATGGGACATGCATCCCCTCTTTATTGAGGCTATGCAGTACGGAAGTCACCATAACAGCAAACAGCATTTTCCATGGTCAGAGAAGGTACATGCTAGTAAGAAAATAACACTAATAAATAAATATATAAACAAACAAATGTGTCTGTGTGTACATTCTTTACAAAAGCCTTCTGAGATAAGCACTTGTATTACCCCAATTTTACAGAGATAAGAAATATTAAGTACTAGTCTTTTTCTTTCTTTCTTTCTTTCTTTCTTTCTTTCTTTCTTTCTTCTTTCTTTCTTTCTTTTTTTGGTCTTTTTGAGATATGGTCTCCTTGTAGCTCCAGCTGGCCTGTAACTTACTATGTAGACCAGGCTGGCCTTGAACTCACAGAGATCCACTTGCCTCTGCCTCCCAAGTGCTGGGACTAAAGGCCCAGCTACATATTAGTCTTTTCTTTCAAACCTTGTAAAAGCTTTGGTTTATGACAAGAAATTCTAACCTAATCTTTTACCCCCACCCCCACCCCAAGACTTTTGTTTACAAAATGGCCCTGATACAGTCCTGGAACCCAATGGCTTGGGGTGGCAGAGCCCTTCCCCCTCTTTGGCGAACCGTTGTCCTCTTTCCTTTGCACTGCTTCTTTTAAGATGGCCAATGGGGAAAGACTGTGAAGTTGGAATCAAGGCAATGGGGAAAGACACAGCATTCTCGGTGTCTATCAAACTTCCAGGTTGGGCATCTTGCTAAATCTGAATGGTGCAATACACCTTTTGCAAAACTAAAAGCTGCCTTCCTGAGTTACTTCTGCTTTGTCTACATGTTCATTGTGTGGTATCAGTGTGGTCCTTGGACCTCAGATTTTATTTCTAACACAGATGGGGAAATTAAGGTAGAAATAGATTGCACGTTTACCCTAGGTCCCAGGAAATGCAGGAACCAAGCTGTGGACATAGGCAGGTGGCAATAAAGTCATTGATATTAACTGCTGCTTTATTCTGTTTATTCTGCCTAAAGCCTTCCCTAAATATTCAAACTGAACCCTCCTTTCAAATGACAGCACAGATTTTAATACTTGATTTCTTTTCCTACTTTTGTCTTTCTTTTTCAGACTAGATGTGAGATTTATTACTGAACATGAGTTAGTGGGGTGTGAGACTCAGCACAGGGGAAGCTCTTAGGGATGCAGGGCCTGCCATGAATGGAGATATATTAGCCCCACAGTCATTGAGAATGATCTGCCTCTCAGCTTCAAATTCATCTGCATTAAACTTGGTGAAGCCCCATTTCTCTAAGACTTGGATCTTCTAGTGACCAGGGAATTTAAACTTGGCTCTACACAGGGCCTCAATCGCTTGTTCCTTATTCTGTAGCTTGGTTTGGATGGACATGATGACCTGGTCAATGTGAACCTTGGCTACTGGGTCCTGGGGCTTCCCAAAGGCACCCTGCATACCTGTCTGGAGCCTAGAATGGGGACATCATGAAATCAGAGACAAGAATGTCCACAAATAAACGTCTTCAGGGCACCTATGTAAGTGATAGGCTGAACACACTAAGGAGGCTTCTGTTTGCAGCCACTGCACACAAGGCCTCTATGAGATTAAGAACCTGGTCAGCTTAATTGGCTACAGTCACTCTTGTCTTTGAACAGTGTTTTACACTTTTTTTTAAAGGCAGGGTCTCATGTAGTCTAGGCTGGCCTCAAACTTGCTATGTAGCTAAGGATGTCCTTGAAACTCCTGCTTCTCCTGCCTCTACTTACCAAATTCTGGACTCAAAGACATGTCCCATCATTCCCCAACTGTAGTGCTTATTGATAATGAATCTCCATAACTAGATATAAAAACTCTTTGGTATATAGATTACATACTCACTGTAGTTGCTAACAGTGACATGCATCCATCTGGTACCTTGTAAATTCTTACTGTGCTGACTTATAATGTCTTTGACCTTCAGAGCGAGGTAAGCACACCCCATGTAACATGTGTCTTTGTGGCCTACAGCTCTAACTCTGAAAGAGCTTTCTCTAAGTGCTTTTGTCAGGTTTTTGAAAGGCAATTGGAGCCTCCGCAATGATTCAGCTGTGTGCTAGCCTCCTGCTAATTACATACTCCAGACAAGTCCAGGCACGAGAGCCAAGGGGGAAGAATGAGGGGTCACCTCCAAAGCGGTCCAGAGGAGCTACGTTTAGATTTGCTCTGAAGAAAGGTCATTCCAAGGATTATTAAGTGAATTCCTGCAGTGCATTCGCCAATGGAGGGTAGAAGAAACTCAAGGCTTCGTCCTAAAGCCCGTGTTTTTGTAGGCTCCAGAATGAAAAGCTCTTTGTTGGCTTTTATTTAGATTGATTTAACATCCAACCCACAGAAGACGGAAGGTAGTACATGACCTTGAGGGAAGGGGCCCCACCCCAATCAAGGCGTTTTTGGCCTTAGCTGGTCTGTGGGTGGGCGGCTGAGCATCGTTTCCTTTCCTTTTTTAAAAGCCCCATCACACTTAGCTCTGCAGTGTTCCTTCAAGTCTGTGAGGGGAAGGGAGCGGTGACTTCCTAAAGGAAAGTATTCATATTTTTAGATTGAAATATGTGCTTGCAAAGTTTTTCTCAGAAAACATGGTTAAAAAGCATTTTGGATAACAGAAACATATATTTAAACCATAGTTGGTTCAACTTATGTAATACAACAAGAATGAAATGAATAATTTTATCTTTTAAAAATATTTTATTTAGTATTTATTATTGTTTTCTTGTTGTTCTTTTGAGACAGGGTCTCCCTGCAGCACCAGCTGGCCTGGAACTTGCTATGTAGACCAGACTGGCCTCCATCTCACAAAAATCCACCTGCCTCTCCCTCCCAAGTACTGGAACTAAAGACGTGTGCCACCACGCCCAGCACTTACCTATTGTTTTTATTTTATGTGTATGAGTGTATTGCCTGCATTTATATAAGTGCACCCATGTCATGCAATGCCCATGGAGGTCAGAAGAGGGCATTGGATCCTGGGAATTGAACCCAGGTCCTCTGCAAGAGCAGCCAGTGCTCTTAACTGCTGAGCCATCTCTCCAGACCTTTCTTTTCTTATATATTTTTTTTATTGTTTTAATTTTGTTTTGAATTAAAGAAGGAACAAAATTGTTTAAACAAGCTTCTTGATTTTAGAATATGTGTCCACTCTGCTTTCGTGTGTGTGTGTGTGTGTGTGTGTGTGTGTGTGTGTGTGGTGAACTTACCTGTGTGTGCACATGTGGAGGATAGAGGTCGACTGTAGCTTCCTCTAGCTTGCGCCACCTTATTTTTTGAGATAGGGGCTATGACTGAATCTGCAGATCACCATTTTGGCCAGTCTTGCTGGACAGCAGGCCCCTGGCATCTGCCTGTGTCCATCTCCTCAGCACTGAGGTTACAGGCATGCACCACCATTTTGGCTCTTATGTGGGTGCTGGGGGTCCAAACTCAGTTCCTCATGCTTACACAGTAGTCACTTTACTTACTAAGCCATCTCCCTAGTCCCACTGTTTTCCTTAGGATTTTCTTGCTTTAGGTTCCCATGTCTCAGAGTCCTACCCCTGTCTGCTTTGGAATGACAGGGCTCAGCCCAGTTAGACAATGAACCTGGAGCAGAGAAAGGGCGGGAGAGACACAGCTCACATTGTTTGGTTACAAGTTTGTGGCACCTCACCACTCAAGGAAGCACTGGAGTCACCCAGCTTGGTGTCTCTCACGTCACTGATCTTGTGCAGGAGGAATGAGCTGGAATCCACGTGCTTAACACATGACCCAGGTCAGCTGCCCCAGCCACTGGCTGGCACCATGACCACGTTTCACACATGAGCCCGAGCGCTATGCAGGTCACAGACTCTGAACATCACCCATTTGAGATATGCGGCCTGAAGGGGGACCCTTTATGTCCAAAGTAGGTGTCACTAGAGTTAATTTTGCCTATGTGGCACATTTCCTGTAGCTCTGAAATGACACCCCCAGCCTCTCTATTCCTCTCTTATTTGCTCATCTTGAAGTCCATTGATATAGAACCTTTTTATCATGGTTAGAACATGATTACATATCAGGAAAGTAAGAAGTCTGGTAACTGTCCATTCCTGAGCATATTTCTGCGTGGGAGGAAGAGTGGCATGAAATTGCACAGGACCCAAAAGGCTGCCTGAACAGAGAAAAAGACAGACGAGCTAGAAGGGGAAGTGGATATGAAATTCCACCTCTTGTTGAGGGGCTACTGGCAAATGGCATTGGCTGGGAGAGGGAGAGTCAGCTTTCTTTAAGGGTGTGACCCCTGGTAGGTTGACCACATTCCAGTGGATGGGTTCATCCCCAAGAATAATACAAATTGGGCTCCATGGGCTTGAAAAAAAAGAGTGTACAAAGCTGGGTTGGTCAGGGAGGAGATCTGGGAGAAGATGAAAGGAGGCTGTGAGGATAATACATTGTATGAAATTCTCAGAAAAATCAATAAAATAACTATTTTTTAAAAAAATAATTGCTAGAGGGTAGGAAGCTTGTTTTTCAACTTTACCATGAGCATGTTTAAACATTCACAACGTTTAAAAAGTATACTCCATCATACACATGCATTAAAATATTACAACAAATGCCATAAAAATCTGTGTTCATTAAAAAGAAGAAAAATTGGGCCTAGTGGCACAATCCCAGTACTCAGAAGGAAAGGCAAGAGGATTTTTGCATGCTCAAGGCCAACCATAGCTGTATAAAGATACTCTGTCTCAAAATAAAACACACACACACACACACACACACACACACACACCCTTTATCCTAATATGTCAAGTGTTCTGTACTTTACCAACTCGTATTGCATTAAAATCCCATCTAAGGGTAAAAAATAAGCAGAATCACATATTAAGCTGCTGTGGATGAAATAGCCATCAGATGCATTATAATAAACACGCACACACACAATGTTGACCATCCAGATACCATTTATGTTAAAAAAATTTAACTGTGTGGCCACATTTATATCATATATCCACAGATAGACATATGTATGTTTGCATGTATGCATATGTATGTACGTAGCCATAATTGAGTATTAACAGAGAAAAAGTGACAATATTCACTGCAAAGAAATTTAGAATTTACTCAAAGTCACAAAGTCAGAAAAGCAGTCTAGACCAAAGACTTGTGGGATCTGAGACTGTTCCATTCACTGTGCAGAAAATTTTATGAAAATTATGATGCTCACACCTGACATTTTGATCACACTTCCAAATCTTCAAGTCACTTTGACATATGCACATTATTTCAGTGTCATTCCACTTAGAGTTTATAAGAGGACAGGAGAATGGTGTCCAGGGAATGAATCCAGGGAATGGTGTCTCCCGAAGGCAGTGTTTCCAGGGAGCTGAGGTTCCAATCATGAGTTGTTTCTCCTGTTGAACTTGATTTCCTAAGGAAAACCCCCATCACTTCCTGGGAACACAGGAAGCACTGATCCCAGCAACCAGGTTCTGGATTCTTTTACCCAGGTCCAGTCCCTCTCACCTTGAGTTCCGGCCAGCTCTCTCTGCTGTAAGTTTCTGGGTGCTACTGTTCTCTTTCTGGAATATTCTACTTCCTATCTTTTCAACAGATACCCAACCCCACCCCAGCTGTGTCCTCTACCCCACCCTGGGCTTCCTCCTGTGATTGCACTTTTCACTCTGGGTCATAATTTCCTGCTTGCTTATTGTTTTCCCCCTGGACCACAGACTTCTCCATGATGAAATCCTGTAGCTTTTATAGACTCACAACACTAATCTTCATCCCTGCCAGTAATAAACATGCAATAAATCATTTTCGTTGATTCATCAGAAACCATGAATTCAAAGGATTTGAATTTTTGATGGTGTGATTAAGGTTTAAATCCACACGGAATCAAGTATACCAAGGTTTGTTTTTATTTTATTTTGGTGTTTGTTTTCTAAGATGAGAGCCAAGTAAGAACGTTTGGCAAGTACTGAGGGCAAGAGGAAACAGACTTCGATGTAGTTAAGACAGACTTAAGCAGGTTGGAAGGCAGCCCAAAGGGATATTTACAGAGCTAATGACTGGGTCTTGGGGACAGAGAATATGGGGTTTTTCAAACAAAGAGTTTATTGAGCCCTTCGGCATAGTCAGCATGGAAGGATGGTGCAAGAAAACAGGTGGAGGGAAGTGCCAGGGGCAAGAGCAGAAAACCCGCCTGCCCCCAGCTGCCTAGGGAGCCACAGGACACAGGAATGGTATGGATGGCCTGAATGGGTCTCTTTCAGGGTCCAAAGAAAGAGATTTAGCTAGCTAGATCAAACCTATAGCCTCATGCATGCTAGGCAAGCACTTAGCCACACATCAAGCCCACATTTCTAGAAGTTATCACCAGTGTCCTCTTATGTTGGCCAAGTGTCGCTCGTCATGATCACATATATTCATTTCTTTTTTAAAAAAGAATGGGGATTGTAGTAACCTAAATGCTAATATACTAGTGTTTGTGGGGCAGGGGGTGTCAGTGTGTGTGTGTGTGTATGAGCTCACTGATTGTGGTGTCTGGGTAAATGAAGGACGACCCTGATTTGGGACAGTACAATATTTCTAACCACCAGCTTAAGCCTTTTAAAGTCTAATTTGGGAATCCTCCTTAATGT